GAGAAGTTTGCTCAGATCTGGTCGGATATCCCAAATCCTAATCAGAAACTGTTCCGATGGTGGGCACTGATAGTTTTCCCCTGGGGGAGTTGTGGAATTCTTCACTTAGTGAATCATATCAGGCCAAAGGCCCACCCCACATGGGATTCTTTTGATTTTTAATCAAACACAAATGTCACTTGAAAAGGGCAGAGGAGGCATTCCTACAGCACTGGGGGAGGAAGAGGGAGAGAGAGCGAGAGGTGGGGAGGGATTTAATCACAGATGTTAGAGCCCATAATAATGTCCAGGGTGACCAAAAACTCTCGATACCATTACAATGTCCAAAAAGTCTTTAAAGAAATGATATTCTTTTGGATAATAATGATCTTTGCACATGATATAATCATCTTTGCATTTAATATGCGTCTTCAAAGAGACGTCTCAAAGCGCTTCACAAAATATACTGTAAAGTGAATTGACTATTCTGTGGGCGAAATGCGGCAGCCAATTGTGCACAGCAGTGATTGAATGGATTGAGTGACCAAATTATTTTTAAGGGATTATTACCCCTCGACTAACAATCGGGTTCCTACTTACTGCTTGGTAAACAGAGACGTCTGGAGTAAGGAAACACACCTAAAGTTTTGCCCTGCCAGGAATCAAACCCAGGTCTTCTCGCTTGCGAGGCGAGTGCCCTTAACCACCAAACTACAGGACTCCAACTGTGTAGTTTGATGCATTTTCACAGTTTGCAGTGTGCGATGTGACAGAGCTCTGTGGCGGATTTATTTTAATAATCACCAGCCCAGGGAGAGAGAGAGAGAGAGAGAGGGGCAGCATTTGTTTTTACAGGTGTACATTTCCCCTCTTCCACCCCCTCACCTCCCCTTCCCCCCCACCCGCTCGCTCTCCTCGTCTGCTGTTGCTCTGTTACTCCCTCACAGCTGCACAGTGCCAGCCTCAGTCTCTCCTGGCACGGTCAGAGGCCAGAGTGCAAGCACAGGAAGTGCAACAAACCAACGTTTTATAATCTCCAATTTTATCCTTTTATCCCCCAAGGGTGTCAGCTGGGGCTGAGGCGGGGGCTGGGGCTGAGGCGGGGGCTGGGGCTGAGGCTATTCTGGGCTGTGCTGTGATGACCAGGATGTCTTCTCTGTAACACGGGCTAGCGTTGCGATACCTGACTCCACACATCTCATCATCCTCTGACTCTCGGCCTCTCTCCCCCACTACCCCCCCGCCGCCCCCATGCTCAGGCATTTGGCTCACGTTCTCTCACTGGGGGGACTGAGTACTTGGACAGTATTTGGCTAACAGTGCAGTTCAATAGAGTTCAGCTCCTCTCCCCTTCCCTCCTGCCAATAAACACAGGACCAGTGGAGGAACACAAGTAACTACAGGACTTTGACAATCAATGACACGTTTCCAGGAATCTTTGATTTGGCCGAATATTCAGCACAAATAAATGTTTGACTTGCTAGTCATGGGCTGTGTGAGATGAGAGAAGAGATACTTTTACACATACTTAGATATATGTTTGTTAGGTCAGGGTATCAAGGGATGTGGAGCAAGGGCGGGTCATTGAAGTTGAGGTACAGATCAGCCATGATCGTATAGAATGGCAGAACAGGTTCGAGGGGCTGAATAGTCTCCTCCTGTTCCTATGTTCCTCTATATATATATATATATATATGTGTGTGTGTGTAAGGACAGATCTTTGTTTTGCTTCAGACTTTGCAACTGAAATAACAATGCTGCCAATGTAGTCCAGATATGCCTGGAATTCAATGGAGTATAGATCTGTTCCCCTGGGTTAAGAACAGGGCTGATCTGAGATTCCCTTCTCCTCAGCTCAGCTGCTTTTGGTTTACTTGTGTTCAAATTAACTCTTTCTTGCCCTGGGACCTTGCAAAAACCGAAGGTCCTCAGGCACGCTCGCAGGACAGCCCCTATTTGATTCTCCTTCCATCCAATTTTCTCCCGCCGACCCCTCCAATTTGACTGCACACACACACACACACACGGAAGTGTTGCAACGTACAGTGTAGAGGCAGCTTTGCTCTGTGTCTATTCCATACTATCACTGACTTGGGACATGGAAAAACTGGTGAAAAGGAAAAAAAATTGTAAAAAAAAACCCAAATCCCGTTAAACTGCACAGAATAAATACATTTATTAAGACAATAACGAAACAAAGACAATAACAACTTGCATTTAGACAGCCCCCTTCACTTCAGTTGCTCTGAACTTTGGGGGTGTCGTGTATGAAAAGATTTACTTTAAAAATACCATTGCTGGAGTTTAATATTGCAATGGAGTTGATTTTATTTCATTGACTTTTATTTTATGAGCAAATGTAATTCCCCCACTTTAGGCGAAGGCTTTGTTAAGAGAGGTTGTGTGTGTGGCTCAAGCCTGTGCTTTCGGTGGCTTTGAGGAACAGGGCATTGAATAGTATTCATAATAATAATAATAATCCTTGCATTTGATACAGAGCCTTAACACGTCTTTGAGACGTCAAAAAGAAGAGACATTTCACAGAATATACTGTAAAGTGAATTGACTGGGTAATTTGTGGGCGAAGCGCGGCAGCCAATTGCCCACAGCAGCGTCTCATAAACAGCCGTGGATTGAAGTGACCAAATTATTATTATTATTGTTATTAAGAGATTATTACCCCTGGAAAAGCCATCCGCCAATCGACTAACAACCAGGTTCCTACTGGCTGCTAGGTAAACAGAGGCGTGTGTGTGGAGTCAGGAAACTTGCCCAACGTTTCGCCCTGCTTGGGATCAAATCCAGGACCTCTTGCTTGTGAGGGGAGGGCTCTAACCACCGAGCTCCAGGATTTCATGTGTGAAGCATTGTGGTTTGAGATGAGTTCCTCCTGCTTGATCGAAATATTATTCTTGGCTGATTATAATACTAATACTCGCCAAACGTGCTCTTTCCTTACATTAACACTCACCAGATGCCGGAGCTTTAAAAGGGACTTTTTTGGAGGGGTGGGGGGATGGGGAGGATAGATAGAGAGAGTTTTGTCAAGAGCAGAAGTAAGAGAGAGATCATTTGGTCTATCAAGTGCCCCCACACCCCCACCACCTGCTCAGAGTTATGAAAAATTCATACATTTGATACTTCGCCAACAAAATATACAGTCACTCCACTTTACAGTATATTCTGTGAAGCGCTTTGAGACGTCTCGAAGACGTGAACATACTGTAAAGTGAATTGACCGTGTAATTTGTGGGTGAAACCCGGCAGCCAATTCCGCACAGCAGCGTCCCCACAAACAGCCGTGGATTGAGTGACCAAATTATTTTTTAAATTTTATTTGTTAAGGAATATTACCCCCAGAAAAGCGATCCGCCAATCGACTAACCAACAGGTTCTTACTTACTGCGAGGTAAACAGAGGTGAGCGGAGTGAGGAAACGTGCATAAGGTTTCGTCCTGCCCGGGAATCTAACCCAGGTCCTCCCGCTTGCGAGGCGAGGGCTCTAACCACTGAGCTGCAGGACTTGACATCAACTCAAATACTGTGGATTCAAATACTGTTTTTAACAAGAAACAGACAGAAAGAAAGAAACAGAAAGGATATTTAATCAATCATTATTTTTATTAGTCACTTGATCTCCAGGATAGAGACTCTGTTTCTGAGCTCCACCAATGACTTTGTACATCAGCCCTGTGATGGCGGACATTTTGATGTGAGTTTTACGCAGAGGGATTAAATTGGTTGCATCAAAGATTAGCCTTCGGGTTTTCAATTGGCTGTGAAACTAACTTTAGAGATGGCTTCCATCAAATGAAAGTATTATTATTATTATTAATGTTCTAGATTTACTCTCTCTAACCCTGTGTGTACATTATGCATAGCCCACCCCCCACCCCACGCCCATCATGCCCCTGTGATAGCAGCTGTGGAGGGCTCAGAGAGCAAAGTTATAAGGTTTGAGTTATATTGCATGTTTGGAGGGTTAAGAGAGATGCTGTCTGTCTAATCCGGGCTTTGGGAGTCACGGCCCCGGCCTGAGGTGACAATGACCCGAGTGGTCTGTCCACTGATTCAGTACAGCTGTAGGATGTAGGTTCTCCCACTTAATTAGCCCACAGACTCCCCCGATGTAGTGTTTGGGCTCTATCGGCTCCCAGCGCAGAGAGTGGGCTTGTAATTATTGGACAGTGACAGTCAGTTGATGGGGTCAAACCCAATTCAACTTAAGAGCTCTCATTTATAATTATAATAATAATAATAAAGCAAAGGCTTTTCTAGCCCCGGGGACAGCTTGACGGTGATAACCCTCGGCATTATCAAGCACATCAAACCCAGTCCTGATAGTGAAGTCCCAAAAGGGCAATGCTTAGAGCACTCGCCTCGTAAGCGAGAGGACCCAGGTTCGATTCCCAGGCGGAGTGAAATCTTTGGCAAGTTTCCTCACTCCACACGCCTGTGTTTACCAGCAGTAAATAGGAACCCGGTGGTTAGTCACTTGGAGGAACAGTGTCGCTCGTCAGGGAAACCGGAAAAGGAACCGATATTCCCGGTGAACACGAGGAAGAGATTGGATCAACAGGAGTCTCGGTAGCCCGGGAAATCAGCGCGATAAAGATGTAGAAATGGTTTATCGTCCACAGACATCCTTCAGTGTAGGAGGTGAAGTTGTTGTCACATGGCCCCAAATCATCAACAGTCACGTGGCCTCTTGGAAAGGAAGGAGACACTAAATCCTCAGTGATCTGTTCGGTTCGGGGGAGTTTAGCGAGTTTACAAGCGGAGCCTGGTGTAATGGACTGAAGCACTGACATCGCAGCACAGGAGAGAGGTGATGGAGGAGGCGTGATTGACTGGAGAGACAATGACATGACCGGAGAGTTGTGCTTGGAGCACTGGGGAGACGGAGGAAGGACTTAGCAAGAGAACATTCCGGTCGATCTCCCGTCCACAGGTGAAACCGACGACACAGTTTCGATCGCCTCGGCAGTTTCACACCAACACGAACGATTTGAGCCAGAGGGGAAGGTAATTTTTTTTTATTTTTATATATATATATAAGAGTTTAAGAATTCGCGTGAATATTTTTCCCAGAAGAAAAAAGAAAACGCAATCCTCGTAACTTGAAAGTCGTCAGGTCAGGGTGGAAATCAAGCTTTTTTTTGGTGGGTGGGAGGAGAGGAGGGAGGAGTGGGGGAGAGGGAGATATAAAAGGATCTTTAGTTGAGAAGAAAGTAACTGTGTCCAGAGGTTCAGTCGTTAGGTCCATGAGACGAGGGCCAAAGGTTCTTTGGGTTTGACTCGAAGTGCGACGAGGCTGGAGGTTTTGTAGTCACACTCTGGAACCGGCTCGAAGCCGTGATTGGAGAGCGAGCTGGGGAAGCCGTGCAGGGAGTACAGGCTCTTGAGGCCGCTGTGGTGAGTGGGCGATCCCGAGATTCCCATGAAGCCGCTGACGTTCCCGTGGGAATGGGAGTACGGAGTCATGCAGGAGGAGGCGATGGAATCGTGGGACAGGATGCAGGAGGTGGCTGGGGAACTGCTCGTCCCACCGGCTGTCCAGAGGTTGTTGTGGATCTGAAATGGTATAATAGACAGGTGTTTGATTAATGGCTCACATCTCCCTCTCTCTCTCTCTCTCTCTCTCTCTCGCTCACCAATGGTCCACCCTCCTATGGTTCTACAGACCAGGTTACCCCATTGCTCTCATATGACAAAGTGCGAGGACAGGGTATTCGACTGCAAAGGCTGGGGGAGGGGAAGCGCATTACTATCGAGATTCTTTCCTCGCCCAACCTACACTGCACACAGTCCCTACACCTGACAGCCTAAGCAATCTGCCCCGCGTGGAGGGTGTTGTATAAATGCAAGTTGTTGTTGTTGTGGCCATCGTGGTACATCCGGTGAAATGCTCCCGATGTGTGAGGCACCGTATCAAATGCAAGGAATGATTATTTTAATGTCTACAACGCATGAATGAACCTTCCAGCAGGGGATGGGTTAACTGGAGTGGGATCAGGAGCAGGGAACTCAGCCTCATTTCTCCCTCCCTCCCTCCCTCCCTCCCAGACCCAGGGGAAAAATAGCCAATGTAGTCACTAATCCAGTTCTTCAGACCTGCTCATAGCTGCGAAACGCAGCCGAAGGAGCTTTATCTGTTCCTGGCGTAAACACAGAAGCCTCGCTTAAAGCATGAGCAATTCTTGTGGTGTTGTTCCCATTATCCTAATCTTGCGGACAGCTGACACGCTGGCCCACAGCTCTGTTTTAGCACAATGTCATATATTTGGCCGTCGGTGAATAAAAAACAAAATTCTTTCTCCCCTCTTGCTCTCACTGTAAAAACATTCAGCTGCAGCACCGTCTCACACAGCGGTGAATTCACTAAACATTGGCTGGTGGAAACAGCGGGCAGATAATGAATGGCAGACCCGAATGGCTCCCTCCGTTCTCCTGTTTTAACTGATAATGCAGTCAGTCCTGTAGTGTCAACAGTCAGCGAGCGATCACACGTTGAGAGTTAATAATAATAATAACCCTTGCCTTTGATATCGGGCCTTATCACATCTTCGAGACATCTCAAAGCTCTTCACAGAATATACCATAAAGTGTAGTGACTGTATATTTTGTGAGCGAAACGTGGCAGCCAATTGTGCACAGCAGCGTCTCCACAAACAACCGCGGATTGAAGTGACCAATTTATTATTATTATTTTTTAAAAATTCTTATTAAAAATGCATCGGCATTTATCCATAAGGTCACAGTTGCCGTACGCGACAGCTCATGTGAGGAACACGTAGAGTAGACAGTCGGTTTCGCAGTTGCCTAACGTTAAGAGTTAACTTGGCATTTGACTCAAGTTGAAAGGAACGTTTGCTTTGTAGGAAAGAATAAAACAAGCATAAGTTAAGCCCTTGTAACCATGGCTCCCGGGGAGAATGCCTATTATTTATTTCCACACTTGAGTCATTTAAAATAACATTGTTTATCTTTATGGATGGGCAGAATTCAGGCGGGGAAAGTGAGAGAAAACGATAAAGAGAGCTTGCATATTTACGGAAAACTTGCAGCAAATTGGCTGTCACGTTAGCCTATGAAATACGGAGTCACTAGACTTCACAGTATATTCTGTGAAACGCTTTCATGTCATCCTGACATGAAAGGAGATACATCTAATGGCAAGGATTATTATTAATAAATTATCATTATTGTGGCACTTTAACCTTCAGATATTGAGTGACGAACTGAGCTGCAACAGGCTTGAGTCATAAAATTGTCTGCTTCCCCAAGCTTGTGCTTGGCAAGAACGTCCAGCAGGAGGGAAGTGGGGCGGTGGGGGCGGAAGTAATAAATATTTATTTGCAGAATTTTAAAAAATGCGCCTGAGTATGTTCTCTCTTTCATTTTCTCACCAGACGGAACGCACAAATAATTCTTTGAATACAGGCGACGCCTACATTTTTTTAAAGATGGTCTGAAACAGCCTGTAAATAAATAGGGTTATAATCATAAATAATATATAATAATCCTTGCAGTTGATGTAGCGGCTCGTGTCTTCGAGACGTCCCAAAGCGCTTCACAGGATATACCGCAAAGTGAGTTGATTGTATATTTTGTGGGCGAAACAGTCGTGGATTAAGTGACCAAATCATAACAACAACAACTTGCATTTATTTTTATAGCGCCCTCCGCACCAGGCAGCGGCACAAATAGTTTTGTTAACTGAACACAGCTATTGATTGTGTCTTTGCACGACACAGAAGGGAACTGATTATTTGTGATGTGTAAGCTCTGTGTAAACGCTGTGTGGAGAGGGAACGCAGGTGCCCTTAATTATGTAATCAGAAACCAAGGGAAATAATTGATTGTTAATTGTTTAATTCAAGACACCTGCAATTCCCTTTTGCCCAAACATTCGTACGCAATTTGCGGGCGGAGCGTTTACATACGGAGCATATTAGATCCCAACATCGTGGAGTCCTGTAGCGCAATGTTTGGAGCGCTCATCTCGCAAGCGAGAGGACCTGGGTTCGATTAACGGGCATAGCGAACAGTTTCCTTACTCCACACGCCTCGGTTTACCTAACCCTAACCCTAATTGGCATTTCGTAGGAAACTCCGCTTTTCCGGAGATAATAATCTTTCAAAAAATATATAATAATAATCGATCACTCAATCTACGGCTGTTTGTGGGGCGCTGTTGTGCGCAATTGGCTGCTGTGTTTCGCCCGTAAACTATACAGTCAATTCACTTTACAGAATATTCTGTGAAGCGTTTTGAGACGTCTCGAAGAACTGATCAGGTGCTGTATCAAATGCAAGGATCATTGTTATTGTAATTAATAGAGTGACTGGCCATAGTTTGTGGTAAAGGTAGTAGTTAGCCCATTCCGCCCCCTCGCCCCCCCCCCCCACCCCACCGGAAGGAATTGATAAAGTTATTCATGACAAATGTGAAAATATTGTTCTATTTTTCTCTTTTAACAAGAAAGCAAGTTCCATGGATAAAGTGAGAGAGATTTCACCCGACTGACTGACTGACCAGAGGTAGACAAGGGGGGGCAGCAACAACACAAGGAGAGAAACTCCGTGGTTAAGGAGAGGTTACCTGGGGGTGAGTCTCTGTTCTGGGTAAGATGGAGATGTCGTAGGTGGCCGCAAAGTGGTTCCTGACTTCATGAAGTTTGCCGTAGCGTTCCCGCTTCCTCCACTTGGCTCTTCTGTTTTGAAACCAAACCTAGAGAGGCAAACAGCAGGTTACAATAGCCCTGAGCGTGAGGGGCAAGGATCCGAGGCCCCCATTTCACCCCCAGGACCCGGGCACCAACAGTACAGAAATCGTACCCTGCACTGGTCCGAAGGGACGGAATTCAACAACAACAACTTGCATTTACTCAGCGCCCCTCACTCAGGGTAGCGTCCCAGAGCGCCTGGCAATGGCGGAGCACGACACTGAGGGGGTGGGGGGAGGGGGGAGGTGACTGGGCACGGTCATAGGCAAACCGGTTTCTATAGGGAGCGAGCGTCCCAAACTATACTTTTTAACAAGAAAGTGGATTTGGAGAGGACCATAAACAGACACCGACTGATCAGTTGTGTCAGCTCAGCGTCGGGCTCCAAATTCCTCCCGGCCTCAGCCCGGGCGACCGTTTTATCTTTCGATTCTTGAAACGGCGCAGAATGAGAATACGATCCCACGCGTTTGCTAACGGTCGCTTTCGCATCGGGAGGACGTCTCAAAGCGCTTCGCAGGATTTACGGTGATGGTGGCAGATTCTTCAATCGGAGCCTTAATCCGGGGGCAGGATTTCAAAAGAAGAAAGAGCTTTTCGAATTACTATTATTATTATTATTACTAACAGCAATGATAATCCTTGCAGTTGATTTCGCGCCTCGTCCCGTCACTGAGTCGCCTCAAAGCGCTTCACGAGGATGCCCTGCGAAGTGGAGTGACTGTGTATTTTCCAGGCGAAAATTAAGGCTTTGAACTTTACCTAATCTGTAAGACTTTTGAGTTTTCCCACAATTCGGAGCGAGCGTTTCTTAGGGAGGCAAAATGGCCGCTGAGTTTTATTTTGGGGGGTGGGGGGGGGGGGGAGAATAAACCTTCCCCTGCGAGCTTACCTGCACTCGGGCCTCGGTCAGCTCTGTACGCAGAGCCAGCTGTTCGCGAGCGTACACGTCGGGGTAGTGAGTTTTCTGGAAGACTTTCTCCAGCTCCTCCAGCTGGTAGCTGGTGAACGTGGTCCTGTTCCTCCTCTTCTTGTTCTTGTTGCTGTTGTCGCCCTCCATGGGCTCGCTCAGGATCTCACCGCCCACCACCACACTCTCCTTCATCTTCCCACAGCTGTCCCTGTCCAGCGCTTCCCTGCAATCTGCCGGCATCAGCTGGTAGTCGTGGCTTTTGGAAATCTTAGCGTTTACTGGTCGGGGGGGGGAAGGGGAAGGGGGGGAAATGAGGATAATAATAAACAAAAATTCCTTGCATTCGATACAGCGCCTCGAAGCGCTTCACAAGATATACTGTAAAGCGTACTGACTGTATATTTTGTGGGCGAAGCGTACAATCACTACACTTCACAGTATATTCTGTGAAGGACGAGGCAGAGAAGGAACAGACTGCGCAAGTAACTGTTTATAAGCGCTCTGAGACGCTACTGTGCGCGAAGGGCGCTTTTGTAAATGCAAGTTGTTGTTGTTGTTTGTCATTGTACGCAGCAACCATTAATAATAATAATTCTTGCATTTTGATACAGCGCCTTATCACACTGGGACCGTGTTTACCGGTAAATACTTGTTGGTGTTATATGGGGACTGATACTCTCTTCCCGTGGAGCTCGGGGTAACCAGGTTGGTCAGTTATCAGCTGCTGTTTGGCTGCAACTGATGATAATAACCCTTAATAATCCCTACATTTGATACAGACCTCATCACGTCTTTGAGACGTCTCAAAGCGCTTCACAGAATACACTGCAAAGTGAATTGACTGTATATTTTTTCCGTGTGTTGACTCAAGTCATATCAAGTAACCTTTGGGTGCAGATGTGTCTCATTCTCCCACAGAAATGGGTTGATGCGAGATTAAGCAATTAAAATCAGGCACATGGCTTTGATTGTGGTGTCTTGTCACAAGTATCTGAGCTCAATAACACAAAGGAGAGGAGAAGCCACGTTGTAAATGCTCTGCTGTTAACTGTTCTATAATAATAATAATCTTTGCATTTGGTATAGAGCCTCATCGCATCTTCGAGACGTCTCAAAGCACTTCACAGGATAATAATAATAATAATAATAATAATAATCCTGGCATTTGATACAGTGCTTTTCACGTCGGGAGGACGACCCAAAGCGCTTCACAGAACACACTGTAAAGTGAATTGACCGTATATTTTGTGGGCGAAACGCGGCAGCCAATTCTTATTTAATTTTATTTGTTTAAATTTAGTTCTCTGCATTAAGATTTGTTCCTCTTGCAAAAAAAAAACCCCACATAATAAAGTTTATATTTTTCAAAGAAAATATTAAGAGTACAAAAGGAACATTGCTCTCCTCCACGAGACACGATTTTTACTGTTGATTTTTTTTCGTTTAAAGATATAGGATTCGAGTGTTAAAAGTTGTTAAAAGTATTCGTAAAGTTTTTTTTTAACTCTGCAAAATGGGAAATTCGTTTCGATATGTTTTTTCCCTAATACAGAAAGTGTTAACAAGAAGCAGAAAAGAGGGAGAAACTGAAGCCAACCAGAATTCAATGTATTATTTTTAATACTATTTTATACAGTTTTTAAAACTATTTTAATACTATTTTATACAGTTTTATTAATATTATTTGTAATACTATTTTATACAGTTTTATTAACATTATTTGTAATACTATTTTATACAGTTTTTAATACTATTTTAAATACTATTTTGTACAATTTTTACGACTATTTTTATACTACTATATATAAAATGAGCATTAAAAATCCCACTCACATAACTTACTAATGTAAGTTACAAACTTGGGTTATGGTAAATATAAAACAAATTATAAAAGGGAGGAATAATCTTATAAATCTCTTATTTGTTTAAATAAATTAAATAAAAATTTGCAGTCACTCCTTCAGTTACAGAGGTATTTCCCCCTCTCTCTCTCTCTCTCTCTGGGAAGCGAAGCCAGGTTTATATTATTTTTATAAAAGGAAGGAATAATCTTATAAATCTCTTATTTTTCATAAAAAAATAAATGTAAATTCCCAGGCATTCATTCCCTCAGATGCAGAGGTATTCTCTCTCTGTTTGAAACTAAGCCAGGGTTTTGCAGAGCAGGTGAAGTGGGACAGAACTAAAACCACAACGTTTCTGACAAGAAAGGTTAAAAAAAAAATTTTGGACAAGTTTATATATAAAAGTACCGACAAGTTTCCTAAATTCCATGTCAGGGAGAGAGGGAGAGAGGGAGAGGGGGAGAGAGACAAAAAATGCCGTTAATCTCCAATAAATTATTATTATTATTATTAATCCAATGTTTTATTTGATGTGATCTCCCGACTATATATATAAAAAAAAACCCGTTCCGTTTAAAAATATTGACACGAGTTCCATTTATTTTATGGATTCTGAAACCAAATCCCAAAGGCAAATAAACTTTTATCCTTTAACCTGAAACTTTTTTTTAAAAAAAAGAGAGAAGAAGGAAATGCTTAGATATTGGAGAGATCACAGAGTGGTCAACTGGATCTTATATATATATATTATATTATATTAAATATAAAATATATACACAATCTATATTTATATGCAATATATATACTAACTCCCTCTCTCTTTATATATATATATATATTGTGTGTATATATATTTATAGAGAGAGAGAGAGAGACAGTCGTGTAGGAGGAGATTAGGGAATGTTATTAGAGGATTTCAGGGGATATTTTAGGTTCAGTGTCGGCGACGCATCGAAAACTCCCATTTGGCGAATTCGGTGTTGTGGGAAAGAAGGGAATGAATGTGACTTTTACTGCGATGGGAATGTGGTGTTGAAGCTCTCAGTCCCACACCCCCCGAGACCCGGAGCCGCTGCCGCCCATCCGCACTCCCCTCTGTACCGCAATGTCACTCTCCGCCACAAACCCCGAATTCAGATCGTTTTTACACATCTATTTACATAAGTTTCTCAGTCAAAAATCGGGGCGTTTCACTTGGCGCTCTGACCTCCCTCAGGGGGTTAAACCCACCTGAACCCCCGGGAAACCATGGCTTTAACTGTACAGTAACGTGTAGTTATGTGTATTCGCCGAACAGCCGAAAAGTTAATAATAATAATGGGTTTTCTGTAGAGAACTCTGTGGAGTCCAAACCTCCGTCTCTGATTGATTTCAGTGTAAAACCACATACAGTATATACAGTGTTGAGCGCATAGTCATTGGCACTCACTCTATTACCCCAAACAACACCCAAATATCATCATTTCCTTAAGACTTATTAGATATCCTAACGGTGTCGCGACGTTTTCGTCGATTCTGTATATTATTTGTTCCACTCCCGGAACTCAAAGGCCATTGGGGTTTTACTTCAAATAACGAATTGAAGATATTTTGAAGTTTCAGAACCTTAGGGGTCGGATATTATTAAATATAATAATAATATAACGTATAAAAACAAACGAACGACGTTACAATTGTAATCTAAGCGTTAGTTTAAGACGGGACAGGTTCAGGTGCCGGTGATTTCCATGTGGTGGTAGTTTTGGGGTAGAAACGCGCGAACCTCATTATTTGTATCCAGAACCGATGTTGGAATAAAGTCTGTTATAGCCGCGGGTTTCGGGCTATTTTATTTCGAAGATATATAGATATTTCGAACTATAAGAACACTGCATTAATACAATAATTTAACTAACAATTACATTGGGACCAATATATTGATTATATATATATAAATATTATGGGCGTATTGTAAATATATTACAATATCCTAATCGATATTTAAATATATGGGATTCAATGTAACTGATAGTAAATGTTATGTTTTCCCCCTTATTGATGGTGAAAGTGAGCTGTTGTCATTGTGATAAAGCAGCAATATTTGTGATTTTGTGCTGATGGCTTTTGTGGGAAAAAGAGTTTACTGTCTGATTGTAAAACCATTTCGCCTCTCTTTCTATTATTATTATTTCTATCTCTCTTTCTCTTTCTCTCTCTCTCTCTCTCTTTCTCTCTCTGACTCTCACTAAATCTACCGCAGAGTTCCTTCCCTGTAACCATTACCATTTGCTGTTCTTTTTTCGTTCAAAAAAAAATACGAATAGAGTTTTGCATCAAAACTGTCTCTCAACACAACCAGTGATAACTCTGGAACCAGAGCCACTGGTTCTGACCCGGAATCCGCGCTCTGCCTCTGGGTTTCTATGTGGAAAGGGGTCGGGGGTTTATTTTTTAATGCGGATTTTAAACAACATCCCCCCCTTTCACCTGCTGTCACTTTTCCTGTAAACTTTTTTTTCAAAAGAAAAGGAAAAGGGGGAAAATAACCGTTACAATATGAGACCGGTTTATTTTAAAGTTCAGATTTGGATGTGTTTTGTGTTCATGGGCACTTTCCTCTGTCTTTTCTCTCTCTCTCTCACCACTTCTCTCTCCTCTCTTTCTCACCCTTTCTTATCCCTTCTCTCCCTCTCTCTATCCCTCTCTCTCTCTCTCTCTCTCTCTCTCACCTCAGCATTTCTCTCCCTTTGTTTCTTTGTGAAAATGTTTTCTCTCTCGTTCTGTTTTTTTTCCCGCCCCAGTTATCTACTATTCCCTTTTCTTCTCTCCCTCTCTGTCTCTAACCCTCTCTCACCCCCTTTCCTTCTCTCCCTCTCTGTCATCATTTATACCCCTCTTGATCACACAACATCACACGGCCTCAGTCACAGTTCAGTCCCCCCCCCCACCCCCAACCCATAGAAACAATTTTCAAATCAATTGATTTATTTTAATTAAAACAAATCTTAATATAAAAAGCTACGCTTTAGTTGCTCTGCAAAATGTTGAAGTGAAAAACAAATCGATCTTTACGTGTGTTTCTTTCTAGAAGCCTTATTCAACAACAATAATAATAATCATTGCATTTGATACAGCGCCTCATCGTGGCTTCGAGGCGTCTCAAAGCGCTTCTCACAGAATCAAAGTAAAGTGGATTGACGGTATACTGTGTATTTAATACGCGACATCAAACAGTTATAAACATTAACGTGGTTTAATCTTGAGAGAGGATTTACACAGAAGGTAATGGTCGACTCCAGCCTTTCACCAACGAATTAAGTCGCTTTTGCCCACATTTGAGCGTTTTTTTCCCCACAAACAAATTAATATTCTCAATTGGGGACCGGGTTTCGCCCACAAAGTAGTCAATCCATTTTACAGTGTATCCCGTAAAGCGCTTTGAGACTTCTCAACGA